ACATACCATATAATAAGAACAACCCAAGAACAGACCAAGAACAGACTAAAAACTGACTGTGCAATAAGAACAGACTAAAAACTGACAGTACAATAAGAACATACCAAGAACAGACCAAGAACCGACCATGTTATGAGAACAGACCAAGAACAGACTAAGAACCGACCATGTTATGAGAACAGACTAAGAACAGACCAAGAACCGACCATGTTATGAGAACAGACCAAGAACAGACCAAAACCGACCACGAACCGACCATGTTATAAGAACAGACCAAGAACAGACCACGACCCGACCATGTTATAAGAACAGACCAAGAACCGACCCGAACCGACCATGTTATAAGAACAGACCAAGAACAGACCAAGAACATACCAAGAATAGACCACGAACCGACCAAGAACAAACCTTTTTTTTTCTAAACCCAGCGGATCTTCATCATATCAGACAATGTAAACTAGTCTTTTAACATGTAAAATTACTATTTTAATGGATTTTTAACTACATTCTCATATTAAAAACATATGAACAACAACGAAAAATAACATGAGAGATATAGAAAATGAAGGACTTACTTAGTAGCTCTTCTTCAAACTTCGTTTTGGACGAGAAAAAAACGTTGAATAGGCAAGATAATAATATTAATGAGGTTATGCGATGACGATGACTTCATAAGAAGAGAGGAGAAATTGAAGGCGGCTGGGAGAACAAAATGGCGCGAAATGGAAGAGGAGGAGGAGAAAGAAAACCCTAAAATCACAATTGATGACGTGGAATGCTGACGTGGAAGTTGGGTTATTTACCCAATTTATTTTTTTGGTGATTTATTTACTTAAAAACACATTTTACTTAGTCTATTTATACAAAGTTCCCGATTGGGATGCCTAATTATTTTATCATTATTTTTCAGAAAATCAATGAGAAAGGCATGCTTCAAAGAACTTCAAACAAAGAAACAAGCAAGGAACCAGGCATTCCTGCATGGGCCTTCCAAAACTAATGGATTGGGCCTAAGCGTGCAGGTCCATAGGCTTTTTTAAGAGAAATAGTAGAAAATAGGTCAATATGAAAAGTTTAAAAAATTATATAGGCTAATTTTTAGTTATAGAAATTAATAGGCCATAATTTGTCAAGTTATGATTCATAATCAAATAAATTATGGATAAACTTATCAAATTATGGTTCATAATCAGACAAGTTATGGACAATTATGGATAATAATTTGTCAAGTTATGGTTCATAACCAGATAAGTTATGAACGAAAACAGTAATTTAACCTATTTATTAACTTATGTAAACTATTCACCTATTAATTTTAATTCATCTCAAATCTTAGGGCCCGTTTAGTTCGCTGATTCGAGTTTTTAATTCGAGTTGAGATGTGATTTTATGTGAGAGCTTTTTACTGTAGCAAAAAAGTTAGATGTGATTGTTTATAAAAACATTTTACTGTAGCAAAACTCGAATTCTAAACTCGAATCAGCGAAATGAACAGAGCCTTAATCTATTTCTCTCTTTCTCTCATTCTTTAAACTATTTCTATTTGTTAAATTTTAAATAAAATAAAACAAAAAAGCCACGTGCGCTATCTTTGACTTTTTATGACGTGCTGAGCTTTCTAAGCAACTTTTATTGCATTTGTCAGCCCAGCAGACCCAGTAATTAAAGTAATAAGACAACTCAATAACAATGAAGATGTCAAAATAATATAATATAATAATATAGTGTACTCGTGGCTCAGATCAGCTATTCCCGGTCGCTTGTTTGTTAATTGTCCTGCATCGTCGACGCCTCTGAACTCATGCTCCTCTCCTTCATTGGGCCCGCCCTCCAAGCCCAGTGGGCCCTCTCCTCCTCCCTACAGACCCTCCTTTACGCTGTCGTCTTCGCCGGCATGCTTCTTGGGGCCCAAACACATCTGATCGTCCTTTTTTTATAATTAATTAACCGAAAGTTCTTCATGCGCAATGAAACGCATTGAAACTCAGAAACAAGAACGAAAAATCTCCTCAAAACATCTTTAATGACAGAAAATTAAAATATCAATTTTCTTTATTAAATCCGAATTCAATTAATCACAACTTTTAACTATTCTTGAACCCGGAATTTTAGAAGACAATGGCTTAGTTTGGTATAGATTTTGGGAAGCTAAAAGCATTTTTTTTTTAGTTGAAGCTAAAAAATGTGTTTGGTACACACATAAAACCGGATTCTTAGATAATCTAAAAGTAATATTTTAGCTGAAATCAGAAGCAACTCCTTGCTGCTTCTTATTTCAGATTGTCCGGGAATCTGAAGTCCCTCATTAATGAAATTTTGGTTATTCCCAAAATAACCCTCAAACCTATCATTCTGAAACTCTTTCGTGCTCTCTTCCTCAGCCCCTCTCCTGAAACTCTCAGAGGCACCCTCCTCTCGTGCTCTCTCAGCCTCTCTCAGCCTGTCGCTCTCTCCCTCCGTTTATCTTTCTTCTCTCTCTCGGACTCCCTCTCTCCGTTTATCTCCTGCGATTGTCGGCGGCGGAGTGACCAAAATCTCTGTTCTCGCGGTGTTGGTGGTTTTGCTCGTGTTAGCTGTCGAAGAGGCATTTACCCGGCCAAGGAAGAAGAAAACCTCACTCGATCCTCTCATTCCACCAAATGCCCAAATTTCCCCATGCATTCTTAGGTTCGTGGAAGGAAGATCGATACATGATTTTGTGAAGACTGGGTAGTGGAAGGAAGATCAAAGGCACATGAAGCGCTCTTCCTACGCCAAGCTCGCTTACCGAAAGAGGTTCGCATTTCTCTATTTCTATATGTTTTTCATTTATGAACACTTTTCCCCCAAATCTCATGGTGCCCGCTCGTTCATTTTGTCCCCTTTTGTGGTTTTTGGTCAGTTTATACTAAGCTTTCTAATTCCCATTACGTTTACAGCAGCACAACCTAAAGCAAATCTTCTTCTTTCTTCTTTGATTTCGTTGCCCTCGTCTAAGAATCTGGTGAAATTCTCATCTTTAATGTCGGAATAATACTATCAGTTCACGCCCTAATTGGCACAAATGAAATCGGAGAAATTGGGGGTAGAGTTCTACTGCTGAGTTTCATCTGAGGAATTGGAAGTAATGCCACTTTCGATTGCGCTCTCTCATTCTAGTCCCTGCGTTCCTTTCTTCTATTCCCAAAAGGTATGACAAAAAGTGGAAAAAAAAATTAAAGATTGTAATTTGAATTGTCGTGAACTATTCATCTTTCTATTAATCTGTTTCTCTCTTTGACTCTTTCTGATTTCTGCATTTTTTTTCTTTGTTTTGTATAAATGTTCTTATTTCTCACGCTTCATTTACTACTTGATTTATGCCCACAAAATTGTATGTAAATATGAACAAAAGTCCTTGCCTTTGGGAGCGTTATACAAGTTTCTGACCTCTGTTATTCTTGCAGATAGGCTTTGATTATCTTCATCAATGGCTGCTACAGATGAGGGTCTAAAGAAGCTTGAATATTTATCGCTAGTCTCCAAGGTCTGCACTAAGCTTGAGACCCACTTAGGGTTTGGATACAAGGTTTTGGCTGAGTTCATAACTGAAATGGGTCAAAACTGCGATACTGTCGATGAATTTGATGCCAAGTTGAAGGAAAATGCTTCCCATGAAAAAGAGCTCAGAGGTGACAAATGGGTCATAATTGAAATGGGTCAAAACTGCGATGCCGTCGATGGATTGCTGTATCAGGAAGAGGGTGCAGAGGAAGAGCTTGAGATCGAGCTAAATGAGGATGTACCGGCTTTTCTGAACGGCCAGAGTAGGTATTCAGTGGATATGTCACCTGTGAAAATCTTTAAGAATCCAGAAGGGTCATTGAGTCGGGCAGCTGCACTACAGTCTGCTCTCATTAAGGAGCGTATGGAAGTACGGGAGCAGCAGCAACGAACTATGCTGGATTCCATTCCCAAGGATCTCAATCGTCCATGGGAAGATCCAATGCCAGAGACGGGTGAGAGGCATCTTGCACAAGAGCTTAGGGGTGTTGGTTTGTCAGCCTATGACATGCCCGAGTGGAAGAAGGATGCTTTTGGGAAAACGATCAGTTTTGGGCAGAGGTCAAAGCTTTCAATTCAGGAACAAAGGCAGAAATATTTGATAACACATTCATAACACTCTCATCACATTTCCTGATCAGGAAGACATGTTGATTGTAAAGGATGAAATATTTGGTCCTGTTGTGGGGCTCATGAGTTCAAGTAAGTACAGTTTGATCTCATTTGATCAAAAATAAGAAACCAAAATTAATCCGATCCCACTTAGCATAAAAGAGATCTCCATTTCATGTATAGGACTAGCAGCAGGTGTTGTCACAAAGGACTTGAATGTGGCCAACACTGCTTCGAGATCAATCCGTGCCGGCACCATATGTATCAATTGCCACTTTGCTTTGAGGTCCTCCACAAGTATCTCCAAGTGAAATCTGTTATAACTCCTATATATAACTCTCCTTAGCTCTGAGCTAATACATCAATGGACAGCGAAGGTCATTTTATCCTTGTTCCTTTCATTTTTCCCCTCTGTTTGTTCATATATGGAAAAAAAATGCACGTTCTGGTGTGCTGAATGCTTAAATGTTATAGTGAATAATGGTAAACTTTGATTTTGCTTTGTATATTTGTCTGGTACTAAGCTTGTATACTATGCAAAACTGCTTACATGGCTGCACTAAAGATTGTTGAATATGCAATAAAACTTTTAAGTCCCTGATTCCTTTCTGCAGTTTGCATACTAAATTCTCTGGACCAAATCAAATAACCAATATTGTCATAGAAAATAATCAAACATTTGAAAGGATTTCTTGGATATAAGGAGAACGATACCATTTACCACAATTTTGAATGGGTCGTCGACCAATAAGCAATAAAGAGGTATTCAATCAAGCACATTCTTCTTTTTAAAGTGTCATTGAACACACTTTCGGTGTTTGGAAGAAAAAATGAAAAATTTTGAGAGACATGTTTAATTATTCATTTAAGAAGCAAGTAAAAATAGTTATTGCAACAATGACGCTTCATAACTATATTAGGATGCATGATCAACGTGATTGACATTTTCAAAAAGTCAAGGATAATCTAGATGTTTTCGCTTATGAAGAGCATCAACTAGAGGACAATGTAGAAGAAGATGAAGCTTCACTATCACAAGAAATGGTTGAAGTATGAGATCAAATTGTGACAAGTTTAATGAACACGACTTAATTCTTTTAATGTCTCTGTCAGTTTTTGAACATGGAATGTACTTTTTTGTTCAACAAATTGATTACTTACTAATGCTCCTTTTAGTTATAACTATATTGTGAATGAAGAAATGAAAAAAAAAAGAATTAATTATCATAAATTTTTGTTAAAAAACTCAAAATCATAGCAATATGTTTTTTTTTAAGTTAAATAAATACTTCTAAATACCAAAAATAATTATATATATTTAACTTTCATATCATGTCTATTTTGGTCATTTTACATACTCACAGCAATTCAACATCAAAATTTACCAAACGTTATTACACTGATTTTAGAACCAGCACAGTTACTATAATTACAGTTTACTAAACACTCAGCTGCTTCTTGTAACAGCTGCTTCTTTCTTCAGCACAGCTAAAAACAATTTTTTTAAAATCCGCAGCACTACTAAATTAAGCCATTATAAGATCAAAAAGCGATATCGAATGTAACTGTTTACCGTTTTAACAGAGTTAAAATATTAAAAAAAATTTGTGTTTCACTAAGAAGATCATTGCATGGTTGCTCTGGTTTAAAGTACATGTTATTGGAAATACAAAGTTATATTTTGATCCGATTCTACAAAGTATGATGTAAACTGAAAATTGAACATCATATTTTTGTTACATAAATCTCTCGAGGGTCACCAGGGCAGTTCTTGTACCCTCTTGCCAGCAACTAAAGTTTATTGTTAGCTAACAAACTATAAGCGACAAAATGGGTCACCTAAAATAAACACCCTTTCTTGTAGGGAATAGGTGTGGTGTATAGAATTGTAAAGGAAAAAAAGAAAAAAAGAAAAGAACACAAGTTATAGAATCAGCAGAATCAAATTTGTATGATAAAATTTGAAGGTTTTAATTAAATAAAGCATTTGATAATATCTGAAACTATTTTTATATATTTAAGCCATGAATTTGCTCCTAGTTCTCTCTGCGCTATCCTTGGACGACCCAACCAAAGCTTAGGCTGGTGCGGTTTGGTTGTTTCTTACATGTACTAAGTGAAATTTGCGCGTGCTTTACTGCTGTGTCAACTACAATAACTTAAACCTAAAGAATTATTAGGTTAGGAGCACAAAAGAAATGAAACTATTATTTTATTCTTTTCCACACTACAACATTCAAAGATCGTTAACTAAGGTATAGCTAATTCATTGCTAATGCATAAAACTCACCTGCGTAGCACGTTTTAACAACTTTCTCGTCACCACGTTATAAAAACAATTCCATCTTAGCCTTATTTTCAAGCAAGCAAGCAAGCAAATTTTCTTCCTTTTTTGATTTCTCAGTTTAAAAATGGAATCAGAAAAGAGTGTTATGATAGATTGGTCTTCACAAAATGGATCATATAGGGGAGTATTGGTGATAGCTTGCGCTATTTTATCGTGGATTCTAATCCACAGATGGAGCCAGAGGAACAAGAAAGGCCCCAAAACATGGCCACTAGTGGGAGCAGCCATTGAACAGCTCACAAACTATGACAGAATGCACGATTGGATTGTTCCATACCTCTCCGAGTCGAAGTCTGTCGTTGTTCCAATGCCTTTCACAACTTACACTTACATTGCAGATCCTGCTAATGTAGAACATGTCCTTAAGACCAACTTTGCTAATTATCCGAAGGTAGCATGTTCAAAATTTGATTTGATTTGATTTTTTTTTTTTTTTACTTGCAATCATCTTCATTTTAGCGTAGAATAGGCGCTTACAACGTTTTTCCGCCATTCAATTTCTTCTCTCTTAACTTGTTAATCTATTGATCTCGTTTATTTTCTTCTTTCCAAGGGTGAGACTTATCATTCGTACATGGAAGTCCTACTCGGGGACGGGATTTTTAACGTGGACGGCGAGCTATGGAGGAAACAAAGAAAGACTGCAAGTTTTGAGTTTGCATCCAAGAATTTGAGGGATTTCAGCACCATAGTCTTTAGAGAGTATAGCCAGAAGCTCCATGCTATTCTAAGTCAAGCATCTTTCCACGGCCAAGTAGTTGATATGCAGGTAATGATGTCTTGTATTATAGTGAAATTAGAGAAAATATTATACATAGTTGTAGAATCAAATCACTCAAAATGACTAATATAAATACGTTTGAGCCTTTAGTTTCCATGGGAACAAATTTAGATGAGACGATCTTCTTTAATAGGAGCCAAAGATTTCTTCCTTTGCAGGAACTGCTGATGAGGATGACTTTGGACTCTATATGTAAAGTGGGATTTGGTGTGGAAATTGGAACTTTGGCTCCCGAGCTACCAGACAACCGCTTTTCTCAGGCTTTTGACGCCGCAAACATCATTGTTACGCTCCGATTCATCGATCCACTCTGGAGAATAAAGAGATTTCTCAATGTGGGTTCAGAAGCTTTGCTTGAAAAAAGCATTAAGACAATTGATGATTTTACCTACTCAGTTATTCACAGAAGGAAAGCGGAGATCAAAGAAGCTCGCGGGAGTTCTAGAGACAACAAGGTAATATAGCATACAATACAGGTCTCGCTTACCCTTTAGGTATTTTTTTTTTCCTATTCATAATCTGAATGACAAATTTCATGATCAGATGAAGCATGACATACTGTCGAGATTCATCGAGTTAGGTGAAGACCCAGAAAGCAATTTAACCGACAAGAGTCTGAGAGACGTCGTCTTAAACTTTGTGATTGCCGGTCGGGATACAACAGCAACAACTCTTTCATGGGCCATATACATGATAATGACACACTCCCATGTAGCTGAGAAGCTCTACTCGGAGCTCAAATCTCTTGAAGAAGATCAAGCAAGAGAAGAGAACGTGTCGTTACGCGAGTATAACGCAGAGGACCCTGTCTCATTCAATGAAAGGGCAAGACAATTTGCAGGACTCCTGAATTACGATTCATTGGGAAGGTTATACTATTTGCATGCCGTTATCACAGAGACACTTCGTTTGTACCCTGCAGTTCCTCAGGTAAAAACTAGTTGTTTGTTTTTGTATACCAATGACTTAGGATGAAAAGAATTGGTCAGCATATAATGTATGATTTATAGGATCCCAAGGGAATTTTGGAGGACGATGTATTACCAGATGGAACAAAAGTTAAAGCAGGAGGTATGGTGACTTATGTGCCCTACTCAATGGGTAGGATGGAGTACAACTGGGGCCCAGATGCAGCTTCATTCAAGCCTGAGAGATGGCTCAAAGATGGTTTCTTCCAAAATGCATCCCCATTTAAGTTCACAGCATTTCAGGTTTGTTTACCAATTTGTACTTTCAACATAAAAATGCCTAATTCACTTTAACAACCTATACAATTGAATTGAGAGGTGCTTGATTGGTAGTTCAGTATGCAAGTTTCTTGAATCTAATTGGTCTTTTTTTTGTCTTTTTTTTTTTTTTTTTTTTTTTTTCAGGCTGGACCAAGGATATGCCTAGGGAAGGACTCTGCATACCTCCAAATGAAGATGACGTTAGCCATTTTATGTCGATTTTACAAGTTCATTTTGGTGCCTGGTCATCGAGTTGATTACCGTATGATGACTATTCTGTCTATGGCTCATGGTTTGAAGGTTACTGTAGCTAGACGTCTGTAGAATATGCTATGCATTGTAAAACTAATAGAAAATAAATAAAGGAATTGAAGCAGTAGTGTGTTTAGTATCATGTTTATCCAAGCCAAAGTATGAGAAAGCATAATATTGGATAGATTCATAGATCAACATAAATAGAATATAGTTCTAACTGTTTAAGTATAAAATTATTGTCAGTTCATCGCCCATCGCCTGAGATGGAGCCTAGCTTTCTGACTGGGCAAGCAGCTCCTACCTCGTTAGACGAATTTACTCCTAGAGGATTTCTTCCTTCCCTCGTTCGTGCTTCACTCCTGTGAATCACTCACTTGTTCCTTGTAATCTGTCATATTGTTCATTTCTCGAAATATCATAAGAGATCAGAGAAACTTCAAGACGTACCTAGATTTTGCATAAAAACCAGCCAGCCGGTAATATATATCTATTTTAAACCCGTTATTCCGACCATTTTTGAAAAGCGCATAGTTTCTCCTCCAAAAATGATCCTAATAGTTTAAACTTTTGAGATAAATTGATAAATTAACATGGTATCAGAGCGGAAAGTCTTGAGTTTAAACATTCATAATTGTACTAATTATCCCATTGAAATTGTTATTATGTGTTGGGTCTTTAATATATCTCAGGCTTAAATATTCACGTGTTAGGCTTTTCAATTAATTTATTCACACGATTGCCTATTATCTAGCCTACACGTGAAGATGAGTGTTAAAGTATAAAATTATTATTGGCTCACCTCCTAATAGCTTAAGCTTTTAGAATTGATTGGTAAACTAACACTAACAAAGAAAAAAAAAAAAAACGTAAATAGAATAAGGGTTATTTACATAAACGCCTACTCTAATGAGCACTTGATTTTAAAAAGAGTTAAATTTATTGGAAGTCCCTGAATTTTTTTATCTTTTTACAATCAGTCTTTGAACTGAAAATTATACAAACTTAAACCTTGAACTTTTTAAATGTATTAAATTTAATCCCACAGTTAATATTCCGTTAATTTTAGATGGAAAGAGTAAAAATATATTACATTACGGACCTAGAGTCAGCAAAAGTAGACATGTAGAAGCTGTCTCACCCCCTCTGTCTTGACCCCTTATTTTATTTTATTTTTCTTTTTTATTTTCTTTTAGTGCTTCATTGTCTCTATCTTAGGGGTTGTTTGGTTGAGAGATTCGTACTCCGATTCGAATTATGATTCATAGTTCGCTATAATGTTTTCTCTCACAAAAAATACACGTAAATAAAAAATTATTCTAATATTATGATTCTAATCTGTGAACCAAACGTCTTCTTAAATTTAGAGTTTGCAAGTGTGCGAAAAGTCACCTATTTCAACAAGGTGCTTGATGAAATAAAAAAGGCAGAGGCGGAATATCACAAACTTTGAGCACCTCCGAAAGGTGTTAATCATGTCCTTGCCTTCATAATAGTCTCTATAAATTCCAAAGAAACAGTTTCATGAAGAAGCTTCTACAGAGATTTAAAAGGACATGGTTATTTTTTTTAGCTGGAAAAACATTTTTTGGTTTTCAGTACTCCCGCTATCCTTTTACCTGTATTTATGCTACCATTTGAAATTCCTAATATTGCAAATTGTGTCTGCATAAGGGGGAAAAATAACGTTTTTCTCATTGCAAATTGTTTCTGCAGAGTTTCTGAATCTATTGATGACCTTAAAACAATGTATGAGGACAGAAAGCACAAGATTTTTGGAAAACAACAAAGATGCAATTATTTTTTGTGTCTATAATGTAATATTAACTAAGGGGATGTTTGGTCGGAGGATTCAAACCATGATTTGAATCATGGTTCATGGTTCGCTACAGTATTTTCTCTCACAAAAAATACACGTAAATCAAAAATAATTTTAATTACATGATTCTAATCTACGAACCAACGTCTCCTAAGGCTCCGTTAGAAAAGAGATAAGATTTTAGGGACGAGAATTGAGAAGGAAGTGGTGGGAAAGGATATTTACTTTTATAATTTAACTATCAATATATTAACTTTTTTCATCCAAAATTAACTGGAATATTAATTAAGGTACTAAATTTGATACATTTAAAAAGTTTGAGGTTTAAGTTGGTATAATTTTTTATTCATGGATTAATTGTAGGAAGAGAAAAAAATTCAAGGACTTCACATGAATTTAACTCTTTTATAAAATATCTACTTTTTTGTTTATTTACAAAATTATGGACTACCATATATATAAAGACATTTTTATCCTCATATAATGAAAAAAAAAAAGAAATAATTAAACCACAAAAATGTATGAGAATGAGATAAAATCTGAACATTAAACATTATAAATTTTAAATTTAAAAAAGTCGGCCACCGTAAAAAACCACAACAATTGTATTTAATAAAATTATTTAATGAGAAGTCAACTTCTTTATTTAAACAAAAAAGGTCAAAACAAAAGAATAAACTTTTTGCTCATTGAAAGCACACAAAAAAAGGCAGCTACAAAAGCTCTGCAACCACGACAAAAAATGGTCAAAAATCCCAAACTTAAATTTGACTCTGACAGCCATTAAAACCCCAAAATCCACAAAATATGTGCGAAAGAATATGTATTTTCTCTAAAATAATAATCAGACCATAATAAAAAATAAAAACAAAGTAATAAGTAATATTATTCACAGAAAATTATAAAAAACACATTACAATAAAAACGAATTATGATCAAACTATAATAAAAGAAAAATTTTAATAAAGAGAAAACAAAAAACATAACAAAAAAATATGTACAGAAAGAATAAGTATTTTCACTAAAATAATAATTAGATCATAATGAAAATTAAAATTAAAAATAAATAAAGAATATCATTAATAAAAAATCAAAATAAGTAGTTTTACTAAAATAATGATCATACTATAATGAAAAGGAAAAACAAAGCAATAAGTAACGTCGTTTAACGAAAAATCACCAAAAAAACATTATAAAAAAGAAGAAACATGATTAGTCCATAGTGAAAGAAAAATTATAATAAAAAAATAAAAAATCTAACAAAAAAATATGTACAGAAAGAATAAGCATTTTAACTAAAATAATGATTAAATCATAGTGAAAATAAAAAGCAAAACAATAGTAACATCATTCAAGGAAAATCACAAAAACATTATAATAAAAAAGAAATATGATCAGACTATAATAAAAGAAATTTTCTAAAAAAGAAGAAATATAAAACCTTAGAAGAAAATATGAAAAGAAAGAAAATAATTTCTCTAGAATAATTATTAGGTCATAATGAAAAGAAAATTGCAAAACAATAATTAATATCATTTGCGAAACATTCCAATAGAAAAGGAACATGATCATACCATAATGAAAGAAAATTTCAAATAAAGAAGAAACAAGAAAACTCTCGTAATGAATTACATCATTCACAGAACCAAAACGACAGGAGCTACGACTACGAGAATGTGGTGGGCATTGTATTGTAATTAGTCGCGTGGACTCCCCAGCTTGTGACTCTTTTTTTGGTAGCTTGCTCCGGTTCCCTTACCAAAACTTTCGTTGGGTTAGCCATACACTTCACATGTTTCTAACGATTCACATAAAATCATCAAATGATATAGGTCTTGTAAACGAATCTACAACGCATTAGAACGCCCTTGTTGACGATCTTTTACTCCGATAGCATCTAGGGTTGTATTTCTCCCAATGTTGTATATACTCTTTCAGCTAGTTAAAATGCAAATTAACACACGTTTGTAGAAATGTCTAGTGAATGTTTATATAATATAAGGTTTTTAGCACATTTTCCCTCTAAATTTGTCGTGATTTAGCAAATTACCCTCAAAATTTTAATTTTAGTAAGCTACCCTTTGAGCTTGTAAATCTGTTGCAATGTGTCCCACTTTAACGACGATTGTGTTAATTAGTATAAAAAAAACACATTCCGCCAAAGAATTCAACATTCCAATTAGAGATGCAACAATGGGCTGGAGCCCGTGGGCCGGCTCAAGCCCATCTTGACACAGTGACAGCCCGGGCCGGGCCGGCACGGCCCGTCACTGCTCAAGGCATGACCCAGCCCATAAATATTGGTGGGCTGGGCTGGGCCAATATATATCTGCCCATGGGCCGGCCCGGCACGGCCCATGAAAAATCATGGGTCATGCCAGGCTTGGGCTAGGCTGGGCTAGCCCGTCTAGGCCCATGATGGGCTGGCCTAGCCTGGCTCGTCTAGGCCCATAATATTGTCATGTTTTTTTTTTCTTTTTTTTAGTAATTTTGTCAACATTTTATGTATAATTATCCTGATTGTACTCTTTTTTCCTTATCAAGGCTTTGTCCCACTAAATTTTCCTTATAAAGTTGTTTATTTAATGAGGTAATCGTAAATAAAATATCTCTTTTCATATTTCCATTGACTATTCAAATTTATATATTTGTTAGCTTGTTTAAAAATTAAAAAATAAAAATAAAAAAATTGAAAATTGCATGTTTAGATGGGCTGGTCATCTAAACCCATGATGGGCCAAGATGGGCATTGAGTGGGTCAACCCATTCAAGGCCTATGGCACGACCCATCTTGACCCGCGGCACGGCCCAGCTTGACCCACATAAAATTGACACGTGGTGTGGGCTGGGCCGAGATCATTCTTATACGGGCCGGCCTGGCCTACAGCTCGCGTGGGCCTAAGGAGAACGGGACGGGCCGGGCCGGACCGGCCCGTTCTTGCATCTCTAATTTCAATTCAAATGTAACACAAATCTTTCACTATCTCAACTTTTAATCTCTTAAATCTGATAAAAAAATCTGAGCAAATTTAATTAAATGGGGTACATTATAACAAATTTACAAATTTAGGAGACAACTTACTAAAAATAAAAAGACAAGTTTAGGGGATAATTGTGCCAAAAGCCTATAATATATGCACTTCTGGTATTAGTTCCATGTAAATGATAATTAGAAGCTCAGTTGAGGTTTCAGGTTCTTGTTAAAAACTTTGAAAGTGGCCTAGGAATTACGGAAAAAAGAAAAAAAAATGTT